GACCACCAAAACTTATTGACTGAAACCTTTCCTAACTTAAGTCTATGTCCAAAACACCATTACATTAACCATTACCCTCATTTGATTCCTTGTTTTGGACCATTGGTGTCACTATGGACAATGCGCTTCGAGGCAAAACACAGTTACTTTAAAAAAGTAGTCCATGACACTCAAAACTTTAAGAATGTTCTACTGACACTTTCCATGAAGCATCAACAAATGATGGCGTATTATCTGGATAGTGAGGACTTTTTCAAACAGTCACTACATGTGGAGAAAGCAAAGGTGTTCACACTTGCTTCTCTTGAAGCCCCTGTTATGTCAGCAATTGAGAGAAGGTATCCAAATACAAGCCAAGTGTCTCTCTCCTGCACTATTCATTTGCATGGAGTTCGATATTCAGCTGGCATGATTATCTCTGCAGGACAATGTAGTGGCTTGCCAGAATTTTTCAAAATACTGAACTGTGTAGTGACCCCCAAAGATGTGTCATTCCTTTGTAAAAAGCTGTCAGCCTGGTATCTTGAACATTTCAGGTCCTTTGAGATAAAGGAAAGCAGTTTTAGTGACATGCATGTTCTTGATCCAGACATGCTGAATGACTTCCATCCATTGACAGCATACAAAGTTGGTATGAAAGTGCTTGTGACTCCAAAAGTGTTTCTAACTCATTAGGAGATAAGAGATGACAGTCGTGTCTGTATTCTTGATCAGACACTACATTCCACACACTAGAATATATTCACTTAGGTTCCTATCATTGCTGTTAAGAATGGAAAATAAATGTGTCCCAGTGAATTTCCTATCATTGCTGTTAATAATGGAAAATAAAAATTAAGAATTAATGATGACTGCTTTTGACTCTAGGTTCTGCTTTCTATAGCGAGCATGTTGCTGCGGGTTCACATTTCCCCTACCAACATCCGGAGGTTAGAGCTGCCTGAAAGGCCTGCATCTGTGGACCATTTGAAGTCTTTCCTTAGCGAGACATTACAGCTGAAATCTAGATTCTCACTACAATTTGAAGACCCGGACTTTAACAATGAACTTTGTAACTTGAATGACATCAAAGAATTGCCAGCAGCAAAGGCAACCTTAAAGGTTCTGTGGGAAGCATCTCCTCTATTGGACTCAACAGATGCAAATTCAGTGTCCTCGCTTGATACAGCAAGCATGACAAGTTGTCAATATAATATCGAAAGCCCTGAATCATCTGTGTCAAGGAATCTTAGAAGTGTTGAACAGTGGCCCTCTACGTTTAACATACCTGCCTTTTCTCTGGATGTGGAGCTCAGGCTGCGTAAAGCCAATGAGATATACCAGCAGACAAAGAAGCCTCTGAATGTCCCAAGGGACATGAAGTGTGAGATTCTGGACAAGATTGTGCAGGCAATTTTTGAAATTAAAGCCTACCCCGATGCCTATGAGATCCAGTCAGTTGCCTCTGCTCTAGTACAAAAACATCCTTGCCTTGCAGAACCTGGCAAACCCACAGGTTGGGATGCATGGGTTATGAGTATCAAGTTTAAGCTTGGCAATTATCGAGCTAAATTGAGAGAGGCTGGTTGTTCAGAAGTTAGTGTTAACACTAAAAGAAAATCACATGAGGGTGTGACAGCCACCATAAAAAAGCCTAAAAGAGCAGAGGTGAACTTTTTACCGGACCATCCTGAGGGCCAGACAGATGATTCACTTGAGGAGGTGAGACTTATCATGGTCGATGAAATGAAAAAAAAAAGGATTGATTCAGCACTCATTCAACAGAAGATGCAAGAAACATTTTCTCTTCGCCGCAAAGAAGTTGTAGAGATTCAGCCACTAGTTGAGGAGATCAGAGAGAGATGGCCTGCTCTTTTTCTAAAGGATGAGGTAAACTATTTAATAGCAAATGTTGTTACCTGTTTTCTGGTTTTTATTAATATTAATATTTTCTATTATTATTTTAATTATAATTACTATTAGACATATTAGAAAATTTTATTTAGTAAATCTTTCTGGTGATTCCTATTAATGTTTTTATTATTATTTATTTTGTAATTAATAGATCTGCATGGAGTTTTTTCGTATCAGTAATGTTGACCTCCTGGGGAAGTTCAACATGTCCCTTGAAAAATACACAACACCTCTCCTGAAACTGTACAGAAAGAGAACAGATGCATTTGGAGAAGAAATGAAGACTCTTTTGGACAAGCTGGATGAACAGGTAATCTCAAGATTCTTTAATATGTTGAAAAATATTCAACATTATATTCAAAATATTCTTTCTGAATAGGGCCATTGATGCAATTTTGCGCATTTTTAAAAATATATATTAGGTTTAACACATAACAGTAAAACTAAACAAAATAAACTTGCTACTTTTAGTAATAAGTTAAATGTAAAATTATAATTGTTCACCCTGAAATTACTCTGTAATCTTTTTCTTACCCACGTGCTGTTCTAAACCATTAAGACTTCCTTTGCCCTGCAGAACATAAAAGGAGAAATTTTGCAAGAAAGAAGAAATTTCAGTCATTTACATACAGTGACATTTGATATTTACCATTTTTTCAAGGCCTTTTTTGCATTCATTCAAAGTGGTGTCTCAAGAAAAGCCGAAACCAATGGCATTTTGGCAGTATTTCAAAGGTTAAAGGGTTATTTAACATTTCTGTCATTAAGTACTCACCCTCGTGTCGTTCCACACCAATGAGACCTTTGTTCATCTTTGGAACACAAATTAAGATATTTTTTATGAAATCCAAGGTTTCTTTATCCCCCATAGAAATCAACGTAATTACAGTCATTCAAGGTCCAGAAAGATATTACAGACATTGTTAAAATAGTTAATGTGACTACAGTGATTCAACCTTAATGTTATGAAGCGATGAGAATATGTTTTTGTGTGCGAAAACAAACAAAAATAACGACTTTATTCATTAATCACTTCTCTTGCCTGTCAGTCTCCTACGCAGTTGACACAGTGCAGCGCTTCCGTGTTTACGCTCAGTATTGGCCAGCTCCTGCGTCAGCATCACATGTATGCATCACGTCACGTGAACCGAGCCGGCCAATACTGAAGTATGGCGTAAACACGGAATCGCTGCACTGTGTCAACTACGTAGGAGACTGACAGGCAAGAGAAGAAATTAATGAATAAAGTTATTTTTGTTTTGTTTTTGCGCACAAAAAGTATTCTGTCGCTTCATAAGAATAAGGTTGAACCACTGTAGTCACATTGACTATTTTATAGAATGTTTTGTAGAATGTCTTTACTACTTGTCTACCTTGAATGATGGTAATTACATTGTTTTCTATGGGGGATGAAAAAAACTCATGGATTTCATCAAAAATACCTAAAGATGAACGAAGGCCTTACGGGTGTGGAACGACATGAGGGTGAGTGCTTAATGACAGAAATGTCCTTTTTGGGTGAACTAACCCTTTAAGCAATAACCAGTTGGCTTTTAATTAGTCATGAGATACTACGTTTTATTTCAATGTATTCATTTATGTTAAGTATTCATTTGTTACAACCTTTGCCTTAAAGAGATAGTTCACACAAAAATGAAAGTTCTTTCATCATTTACTCGCCCCCAAGTTCACACAGGTTTAGAACAACTCGGGGGCGAGTAAATGATGAAAGAACTTTAATTTTTGTGTGAACTATCTCTTCAAGGCAAAGGTTGTAAAAAGTGAGTACTTAACATTAATCAATACATTGATATTTTTTTCAATTTTTGTAGTTTCATTTTCCTAATGAGCTAATTGTATTTGATTTCTATGTAGACACCGGTACTTCCAAGGCCAAGAGTGGATTACAGGCATATCAGTGTAATTGTAGTTTCAATGTTGATGTTCTGACAAAAATGTACAGTGCATATATAATAACTGAGTAATGTTTGTGGTTTACTCTGATGCTTTCACTTGTTTTGGGTTCTTGGACACAATAGTAACTTAGTTTTGAGGAACTCTTAGGTTGATGTTAAAATATGCAATATAGTAGTTTTCACATAATAGTTCCTTTAAAAATCAACCAAAAATGATAAATACATGTGCAAATGTGCTTCATGCCACAAGACAGCTAACGTATTAAGGTATAATTAACACTGGATTTCTTAACATGCATTATGTAAAACGCATGGAGTAAAGAAGTTAAAATAAAATACTTGGTATGTCCTTGTGCATTGAACACAAACTTTCAATAATAAAAAAGAAAAGTTATTTGACCCGTGTTATGGTCTGTCTTTTATTTATTTAGACTATTTAAATAATATAAAAATGTGTCTATGCCTATAGGGTAATCACCAAACGATTCATTCACGAATTAGAATGAACCGATTGCAGCTTTGATCGAGTCGACAACTCACTGATTCAAATTATCCGTTTAGTGCGAGTCTCCAGTGAACTGAATTCACAAGTAACAACCGAGAGATCTTGTGAGCGCATGCGCGTCTGATGCTGCTAAAAGTAAGGTACTAATGTCGAATTTTAGTATTAATTATTGTAACTGAAAATCATATTTAGGTCAAAGCTGTCAGTTGTCTGTGAACTAAATCTGCTGTAAAGGGTGATCTGTTTAAGCCCACTGAAATGCTTGAATGCAGACACATTAACATCAGAGTCTCAATATTTTAGTTAAAAAAAACATTGAAGTAACACAGATTAAATAAAATAACTCATGCACATTCATTTCCCCGCTGCTGTAACGTTAGCAGTTTTACTAAAATACTACATGCATTTAGCCCTATGTGACGTCTGTGAGTAATGTTTGTGGTTTACTCTGATGCTTTCACTTGTTTTGGGTTCTTGGACACAATAGTAACTTAGTTTTGAGGAACTCTTAGGTTGATGTTAAAATATGCAATATAGTAGTTTTCACATAATAGTTCCTTTAAAAATCAACCAAAAATGTTAAATACATGTGCAAATGTGCTTCATGCCACAAGACAGCTAACGTATTAAGGTATAATTAACACTGGATTTCTTTAACATGCATTATGTACCATGCATTGAGCTCAGTGTAAAATGCATGGAGTAAAGAAGTTAAAATAAAATACTTGGTATGTCCTTGTGCATTGGACACAAACTTTCAATAATAAAAAAGAAAAGTTATTTGACCCGTGTTATGGTCTGTCTTTTATTTATTTAGACTATTTAAATAATATAAAAAATTGTCTATGCCTATAGATAATAGGCCTATTTGTGTTCTGTAAATAAAAAAAATGTTGTTCTGTTATTCATTAGGTAAACATGACTATTTATGTTGTGACAACTTGTGATATTAATGTAATATTTTAAGTTGGGTGGACTTTAGTCCGTTTGTTAAGTTTACTCAAAAAAGTGCTTGCGATAAGTTGCCTTATTTTTTTTAAGTTGACAACTTTTTTTTTTTTTCTACAGTGTTCATTGCTCCATACTCCCTGAGCAGGGGAAATCCGTAGAAGTTTACTTCACTTCGGAACATTCATTCACGGATTTGCGCTGCGCAGCGTCTTCACACACAGACTAAACTTCAAGTTCAAGTTCGAGTTGAGCTTTATTGTCATTCGGCTACATGTGGGGACATACAGTGGAGCGAAAAGTCGTGCCTCACAGGACCACGGTGCTACATAAATACAGGCATACAACAATGAAGTAAAACAGTAAAACCTATACACAACTAGCCTACTGAATGATTTTGACTATAAATATACTATATATATATATATATATATATATATAAATGTTTACCTATACATAAAT